TTTTTTTTTTTTTTTTTTTTTTTTTTTTTTTTTTTTTTTTTTTTTTTTTTTTTTTTTTGAATTAACAGAAAAAAGTAGTATGTTGCTACCATAGGAACAGTAATTTTTTGTGCCACTTGAATGTATAATTTTTACATTTTTCAAAGTTGATACAATGAGCAAAAGTATAGTATCCTTTTATAGTTTATAAGTTTACTAATTAATATTTTTTTATAGCATGATAAAAATAACTTGTAAATTTAATTTGTGTAAAAATAATTTTTCATTGAATTATCTTATAATTATATCAAAAGAATGAATTGCAGCTTAAAGATAAATACGTATCTCGTAACAAATCACTACACCCTCTTGTTGCGATATTCATTCACATAAATTATATAATGAACTTTAATCTACATTGCTGTAAATTTATTTAGATCTACAAATTACTACTGGATTTATACGTGATGTGACTTTCACGTATGCTGTAGTATCAAAAAAATACATGATTTTCAAAAAAAAGCGTATTTTGTATTTTACATAATATATAAATAATCATCACATATTCTTATGTGTTCTACATAATAAAGAACATTTAATAAATCTGTTCATATTATAAACGTATTTATAATTTGGCCAACATTGATTCCCAATCAGGAGAACATATAAGCGTACTATTTACTGGTCCTAAATTAATTAAATCGCCGTTTAAATTTTCGGTATCCACTTTTGTTGCAATGAGATCCTGTAATATAAGTTAATATTATAATATATAATATCGTTTCATATATTTTCGATGAATTTTAAATACTTACTTGTCGAAAGCTAAGATGTGATCCTACATCAACGATTAAATTATTTTCTCCCAATAATAAACGTGCTTTACCCGATTTTAGAATTTGTAATTTGCCTAAAATACCAGGTTTTAAACTATTTAAAGTACAAAATTCCGTTTCCGATTTATTTTCATCCTCTTTTTCGTAATTTGAACGATTTGGTTTAGTGTCTTCTGCACTGCTTACTAAACCTGGCAAACAGTCTGGAAACTGTTTTATCGCTGTAGTTTATCGCTTAATCTATTATCAGATGGAAAATTGAATGTACATTATATAAATTTTTAATATAAATTCTTACCTGCATTAAGATATAAGAATGAATTTTATTATTAATAATTTTAGGAATGCTATCTAAAAATTCGTCTTTTATATCTTTATCAGATTTGGATATTTTACATTTAGATTCCTTCTTTGGTGATAATACTGAAAATAACATTAATTATTATAAAACATTTATAAAGATGAAAAAAAAATACTTACCCTCTCCATTTTCTAAAATAATCGGTTTTCTGTCTACTTCTTCTTCTATTACTTCTTTTTTAATTTTTATTTCTTCTTTACACGGTTTTGCTGTTATAAATAAAAATCAATGAAATATATTTTTTATAAAATTAAATATTAATATTTCAATAAATAATAAAAACCTTCTTTTATCATTGGTAATACAACAGGAGCATTACTAAGATTTATAGGTTCTCCATCATCAATAAAATCGTCTCTCAGTAATAACTTTATCTTTTCTTCTTCCTCAGCTTTATTAAAACTACGATTCAAATCTAATTTTGGTTTTTCAAGATATACTTGAGAACTTCTATCGCTATCTCTAGATCCACTACTATAACGTTTGCCTGCAGTACTTGTTATTCCAGTAGACCAGATACCACTAGACTATAACATATTATATATAAAATTTTTTAAAATAATGCTTCTTAGGAGAATGTTTTTAATATACTTGAATTAAATTGCTAGATCCTCTTCCGCGTCCTCTATCAGATCCTCTATCAGCATTCCCTCTACCTCGTCCCTTAATGTAATCTTTACTTCTACTTGATTTTGGAGCATCATTTTGTACTGCATCTCTAAAAAATAAGTGTCATTTTATTAATTTACAAACTAAATCATTATCAATATTCATATCGTTATATATCCTTATTAAGTTAACTTACTCCTTTTTCTTTGTTCTCTGAACATTCAAATTTGGTATATATACTTTCTTGGGTTTCTCAGTCTTAATATTACCTCCCAAAGTTAAATCTCTTGGTAAACGAAAAGAAGTTAATCTAGTTGTACTTGATAAGCCAGGTTCTGTTTTAATATTTTTTATAGGTACAGGCATTGATGTTCCAGGTTCTACCTTTATTTTAACATTTAATGGAAGTGAATTACTTGTATTTCCAGATTTATCAGAAGCCATTCTTAATTGTTATGATTCAGTTGACAATTAAAATATATTTTTGTTATCTACAAAAAAGTAATTTTAATATATTTTTAACAAATCCACATGTTATAAAATATATCATATTATACATAAATTGATTAATTTTGGCGTGTAAAACATAAAAATATAAATTTATTCTATTAAAACCAGTTTTTATTGGGAAAAAAAAAAAAAAAACAATGGAAAAATTGTAGAATAATTTTCGTTTTCTATGCATTAAAATCATATGTAACACATTATATTTCATGAAACATAGTTGTTTCTAGGATTATATTGTAATTTAAATACATACATTCTCACTGCAGTGATGTCCATAGAGAGTTTTATTATAACAATATTTTAGCACAGTACATCACATAACCTCTAAAATACACAAAAGTTACAAATTTTTGAATAATAAAATGGTTTTTATCAAGATATATATACATATATATCAATAAAGAAATCTGGCATTATATAATGAAAAATTTCATTAAACATATTTTACAATGTAGTTCATAATTTTTTTGAATCTATGAAAAGTAAATACGTTATACTACATACTGCGAATACATCGCACGTGTTTTGCTATACTACTCCATTTTGATTTGTTTATATTGTTTAAAATACATATTATTTCTCCATGTAATTTTAGTTGAATGAATATGATTATAAGGTAGAAAAATAAAAATATGTTAATACAATTAAAAACGAAATTAATTTATTACGAATTCGTATTATTCATATTATTATCTACAATTATGTACATCCATTTATCCGTGTCCTGCTTCTTATACTTTTATTGCTTGAAAGTTAAATTTTTCTTTATAATATAATAATATAATATAATAATATAATAACGTAGAAACAATAATTTTGTATTAAGTAAAATTTTATTTCTTATATTTTTTATATTATTTGAAAACTAAAATTTTGATATATTTGTATTTCATTTCAATGAATCGCGGAGTGCAAGTGCATCAGAAAAGGCGGGCATTTTTAAAATCATCATAAGACATTTGAAAGTAAGCGCGATTTAATTTTGGCATCCTAGAATCACATCAGGATATTTCAGATAAGCGATAACGCGAACAGTAACCTCCTGGAAACGATGGAGGTTACGATGTTTTCAGGATGACTAGTACTAGTGACATGAACAGACTCCGTGTGATGAGGTCATCGTATGGTTTTTTAGCCGCGCCGGCAGTCGCGACGCGGAGCGCCCGAACGCCGGCTGCTACGTATAATCCTGCGGTAGGGACATGCTTGCCATGTGCCTATTCACGACATATCGTTTCTCCGATCGCGAGTGCAACGTGTCCTCCTTCATCCTCGGTGTCACGAAACTATCTTTCAAACGCGAACACGTTTATTTTCCTCTTAATTCGTCCGTTTCGATTTACTGGCTCTACGGTTGATTACTTTTCAGTGAGTTTCGAATCTATGATTATGAGTGCCTGATTTCAAATATGTAATTTCTATCGGTTAGACAGATGACCGATTTAAAAAGCTACCAGTTAGCTACGGTTCTTAAACCTGTTTCTCTTTCCCTTAGACATGGTACATGTCGAGTTTTCGAGTAGTCTGCTTTCATGATATCTATTTATATTCTTTCCGATCGAATCTTTTTAGTATTTGATCAGATAAAAATTTATCCACTAGATAATATATTTATCTTAATATACAATCAAATGTTATACGATCAAAACATGTCTATACATAAAACTTTTAAAACTTGAGATTATTTTCAGTTGACATTCTATGTCAATACGTCTCACAAATTTGAATACTTTTTACTTTTATCTTTCGTAAATATTCAAAACTTTTTGTGTACCGCGAGAAGATGAAGAGGGCGGTGCTTCCAAGGATACCACGTGTGTTGTAGAGTATGCGGACGAACAAAATATTGCGGCGCAGGCGCGAACCACAGTACTGAAGTCGGCGAGTTTCAAATGTCTTATCGCAGATTGCAAAGCGTGGTTCTCCATGAAACGGTGCGCGTTATATCCACGAAAGCGTTAATATTAATTCTCGCGTATTGTTGGCGGAATGCTACACAGAGTGTCAAAGATTCAAGATTGTTCACGAGAATCGATAACCATTATATCGATTAGATCGTACACTCGATAGTATAAGTATGAAATGAGATTTTAATATCGATAAATCGAATAAAGCGAATATCTTTATTATTATTTTGTGACATTTATCCACATATTATTTCGCTTCAATTTCATTGTATTTAAATATTTATTTAAAATTATAAATAATTAGTTCTTTTTAAAAACAGCCTGTGTTGCATTTCGCAAGCGATGTTTCCTTCGTTGGCATAACATTAATACGATTGATTCCTCGATTGTCGTTAATCGCGTGATTTTTCGTTGTCCTTCGCTCGAAGTGCAAAAAACAGTGCGCGTATCCTCATTCGAATTTTTGCGTGTTTCGAAAGACGCTCAAATGTCTTTCAGTTATCGCGCGCACGTGTACGAGGATGCGTCGAGGCGACTCCTAGTTCCTTCGAGTTTAAATTTTTAACTCGCTTTCGCGCGTGCCGTTGTGCCAACGCTGTGAATTTTTGCCGCGGCGAGAACTGGTGTTTTATTGAATGTTGTTTCGAGTATTCTGATATCAAGGATTATCGTGGGATCGTCGACAACGAGAGGAAGTGATTCGGACCGGAAAACCGACCGTGTCTAGAAAATGAACGGCGTGCAACGAATGCCCAGCGACGCGTTCGACGCCAAGGTAAGTTTATTTATTTATTCAAACGTCTGGCGAATTAGCATTTTTCAAACATTGTTCGCGTAGTAGATTTATGCAAATGTCCATTTAACACTCTGCGACATTCCTCAATAATTAAATATTGTTACAAATCAATTTGAGTAATGTTGTACTGTCATACAATATGAATATAGCCAGTTTTGCGTAGAGAAACACGATGATCTGTGATCGAAGTATTTTACGAAAAAATAAAATGCAAAAATTACGCCGCGATCTGCTCCAAATGCGTCTCGATTTACGAGGTTATCGTCGGTCGATGGAACAAACCAAAGCGGCGAAGGTTATTTAAAAAGCATCGTTTAACATGTGTATACGTAATCGAGTCGACCTTGGCCCGCGTAACCCAGTATATACGATGCCCTTGTATGGGGTCGTTACATCTCGAAAGAACATACGATCGTACTCAATTTCTATGGTTGTTTAGACATTGTTTCCGCCTGTTTCTGATCTCACGTTGAATATATTTTTTTCTTCATTTGTCCTCAATTGAATTGACAAGCATTTTTTTTTTCAACGTAAATCAGTATCAACTAAATCATCCAACCACACATCGATCGTCAATTTTCGATTTTAATATCTTTCTTTCATAATTCGTTTTAATTTTTTTTTCTACGTGACAAAGATAAGAAATTGATCGTCGTCAAACTCTTGGTCCCATTCGAGGAAACGGAATGTCCTCGGGAATGGTTACTAAGAGGACATCGATCGCGTCTAGATTTATACCGTGCAACCTCGCGTGTAATTTTTTTCTCACGGAATAGTTGGTAGAAACGCAATGTTTCCCCACGGGCATATTGCATATCGCGTTTTCGAATATTTTTATCGAAATAATTCGTAAATCTTCGCAAGATCAAAATCAGCAAGCAAAATTGGATGCGTACGATGCGATGTAAATTTTAGAAAAAAGAAAGAAAAAAAAAAGAATCACATTCAAATGAATATTTGTCGTGAAATAATTCATTATCAGAAACAGAAGAGGGACAAGCGCAGATAGAGATCAGCAATGAAAAAATTGGATGGGTAGAAGAGAAAGAGAAAAAAATTGAAAGTAGGGAGACGACAAAGGAAATGCGTATAGGCTGGTCTCTCCTCGCCACAAATACGAGCGGGGTTCACCCACTTTCCTGTCTGCCAAGGTGGCCACCGAGAGAGCATTACCATTCGGTAAGGGGCACGGTAGTATGCGTATACGTGCGCGTCGAACATAACGTGCAATTAGGTGTCTTAACGCCGAGGCCGGTGTACCGAGGTAACGCGATACCTATACCCGGCCTATGGCAATGCGACTCCATCGAGTCTGATTCGAGCTCTGGCCGACACGCTAGCGTCGATTTCAACCCTCCAGGCTTGTGTCTCGTTGTATTTAGAATACTCTCCTTTTCTAGACCCTTGGATTTTCACGCTCGAAGATCGAAAGGTTTCAGGTTCGGATTTTACAAGATTTCAATGCATTTGAGATTTGTATCCATGCAACGGACAATTAAATTCACCTATCTGCTTTCTTGAATAGATTTGTTTTAGCAAACGAACGAATCCCCCCTCGTGGACGGGACTCGTTTGCAACGAGAGAAAAATAGTGTCACGAAGAGAGCGCATTTGCTCCGAGAGAGATCTCCGAAATGTTGTTTACGCAGGCCAGTTGGACGATAACATTATCCCTAGAGAGGAAGTTGGTGTAACCGATATAAATAGCGTTGACGAATGCCGTGCAATCTCGTAACGCGATCGCCTCGCGATTTCTTGCGCTTTTTGCTCTTCGTTTCTCCAGCCGAATAATAAGCGGCTCTCGAGCCCCTCGATCCATTAGATCGGTTCGGCCAGAGGCGATAGATCCTCGTTGTCCCATCGCCACCACGAACGTTAGGTTGAAATCGAACGCGTCAGCGTTGCGCAACCGAGCTTTATCTACGTGGACGGGAATCGGGTGAAAAAAGTTGACTCATTCGTTGAAAACCCTCCAAGAAGATCGCGCAATCTTTCTAAGGAGTTCTTCTTAAAAGATAAAGCTAATATTTTGCCGCGAATCGTCGAGACTTCAAAATTATAGCGTTTCCAGTTCGCAAACCGTGCGGTGACGCGTGTTTCGGGGAAAAATTTGTTTTTCCTCGTAGCACAAAATTGAAATGGAACGACACACGTGACGTGATTTGCTCGTCAGTCGATTTCGCAACGGTTTGCTCGTTTTCCCGTCACGACATCTGGCCCGATGCTCGTTCACCGTGGCGACCGAGCCGTCTAATTAAACGGGTACACACCGAACGATTCCGTTTCGATATTTCGCATAGACATCTCTTACCGCAAGGTCTCGCGTTATTAAGATGCAATAAACCAGTCGCGCGTGCTGCGGTGCCACGCTCGAAGGCTGCTCTATCTCGAAAGCCCGAGTGAAAGCAACCCATTCGCTCCTACTCCTTTTTTCTTTTTTTCTTTTTCCTTTTTCCCGTTTTTTTTTTTTTTTTTCCTTTTTCCATTCGAACTTTGAGTTTCGCGTTCACCCACGAGACTTTCACGGGGCCGAGGCTTCGGTGCTTGCGCCCAACCACCACTTACGTGATCGAAATCGAAAATCTCCTCTGTTCTCGAGGCTCCGCGATTCGTCGCGGCTCTCGATTTCCGTGCTCGGCCCGTGTTTAGCTTAATCGCCGTGTCCCTCGTTAAAAAAAAAAAAAAAAAAAGAAGAAGAAAGAAAAGAAGGAGAAAAATGAAAAAGAGGAAAAAGAGCAGACTTATTGTTGCCTTACGAAATTGCAGCGCGATAAAACTCACGATCGATCATCGGTTTCCCTCGAATGGGAGGCCTCTATTAATCTTATTTCGCAAACGGCAGCCGCAAATCGCGAGATATACGGCGTATTTAAGAGAACGGCTCATTTGCCGCAATTAGGTCAATTATTATCATTTGGTGGAACGAGTCGTAAACCGGCGCGAGTTTCTCGCTACGCGCGAGCCAACATTAGGAAACACGAGGTACGACGATTTCTGCCCGCGCGCCGTTTCCTCCTCCCCCTCCCCCTCCTCCCTTTTTACACGATTCATCATGTTCTCGATTATCCGCGTTCTTAATCCGCGTTGTATCGCATCTTAACTCGGTTCCGTGACGCGGCGCGAAAAGAAATCGGTTGCTCGCGAACCGCGAATGATGCATCGCGACCAAGTTCCGCGGTATTGCGACCTCATAACTTCCGCTGCGCGCGCCAGCGAAAGTAGGATAACTCGCGAACGTGAACCGCGTCGTCACGTGTAATTTCTCCCCTCCTCCCCCTCCTCCTCTCTTTAACGTTCTTTTTGCTCTTCGCTATAAAAAGAGAACGAAATGGAAGAAACACGGTATGGTAAGAGGGACGCGCGTCGAATTAGTATCGTCCGGATAATTCTCCGACGATATCTGTAATTCAACCGGTCGAACGAGAAAAAGTATATATATATATATATATAAGAGTGGCCTCGGGTATCCAGATTATCCAAAAGCTGGACTGAATGGCAACGAACAAGTTGTCTAACGAAAAAAAAAAAAAAGAACAAGCAAGGTTTACGATCGTAGCTACATCTTCCATTCTCGGAGGCGAATTCTTGATTGAATGTGCCGCGCGTAAATCTGATTCAGTTTCGAAAGATGTGATCTTAAGCGGGATAGAAGGAGACAGATCGAAGATAGGAACGAGGGAGGGAAGGAAGGAAGGGAAATAACGAACGTCTCGTGGAAAGCAAGGGAGAATCGTGCCAATGTTGCGCGTCGTGTTTTCATTTACGGTTAAACGGGTTCTCGAACGACGAACATGGTTACCGCCATAGAATCATCGAGTACGGAACGATGGTCTGGATCGAGCCGATCAAACTATACACGGGGGACACGCGATCCCATTTGCCTTTCGAAACGCTCGCCCCGTCAATTATTTCACGTCGACAGGAATCTGCCGGGCTGAGCCTCGATATCAATTATCAGTTACACGCGTGACACGCGTAATTGCGTTTCCTTCTTCTCTTTCTTTTCTTTCTTTTCTTTCTCTCTCTCTTTCTCTGTTTCTTTTTCTTTCTCTCTCTCTCTCTCTCTCTTCCTCCCGTCCACGATTTATGTCTTCATCCGTTCGATGGCAACGCTTCATCATCGCGATCGCATCGACATTTGTACGACAAATAGGACGAGAGAGAGAGATACAGAGAGGGGTTTCGCAAGTGGATCGAGTAGCGTATCTGTCTTTTCTCTTTTCTTCTTCTTCGTCGTGTTGCAAATTAGCACCTCGAGCGAACCGTAGATCGTGTTTTGTCGTCACCCATCCGGACAATCGCTTCTAGAATTCTAAGAGATGGTCGAGTTAATAGAACGTAGCCAAATATATAAGTGTTCGCGTATAATTTATTGGAAGCAAAATCGGTTGGGACGGGAAAGGGAGAGATCGACTTCTGTCTTGGATTGTTAGATCTCCTCGGATGATTACACCGTGTACCTGTTATCGAACAGATTTCAATTAACGAAGACCGACGATCGGGCGAAGTAATTGCCAAGTAATAAAACAAGGCTCGGCTCTTCTGTCTTCAAATAGGTAGAGTCGATCTTTTTATCCCGACTGGAATGAGCGTAGTTTCACGGCGAGTTAAATGGTTTCGCTTGTTAATTTTCCATAAACGTTGAGCGAGTGTCGCCGTCGCGATGAAATTTGCAGGGTGAAGATGAAAGAGAACCGTTTACGGACCGTTTATCAGTGTGGAACGGTGTCGAAGGAAGGAGAGGAATATTTTTTATTTCTTTCTTTCTTTCTTTTTTCTTCTTTTCTTTTTCTTTTTCTTTTTTTTTTTTTTTGTCGAACGGAATCCATAAATAAATATCGCGGAAAGTGGAATGTTTCGAGACAACGTTTCGCGTGTTTGTCGGCAGTGTTGAGCTCCCCTGGGAGTCGCGTGACTCCCGTGGGATGCTTACCTAATACTCAAGAAAGATTCATAATGTAACGTGGCCGATGTTGGCT